TTGAGTGGCTGCTATGGGGCTGCTATGCAAACAAGTTATATTTGAGGGATGTTGACAAAGAAGGACTATCCGGGCTGATTTACATGCTTTTCTATTATAAAACAGACTCAATTTCCGAGTCCTCCAGCTCCTTTTGAGTCCTTAGGCTCTGCTAAGGACTGTGTATTCAAATTTATCGGTCTCCAGGACCTTGTTGTCTCCAGGATCTTTCAGGGCTTACTTATACCATGTCCATCATGTCCAGACGAGAACAGTTTGTTCCCGAACCAAAAAAGCATCTCAATGTATCCCTATGGTATTTTTGGGCTCTGTTCACACCAGCGCAGTCCGTTCCGTACCAGACAAAATAAATACTGCTTGTCTCATTTGGTCTGGAATGCACTGGAATACATGCAAACGCACTGGAGCGCCCCCAGAAAGCCACTTTTAAGCTATAAAAAAGCGGGAACATCAGGGTAAAAACGTGGCAAAATGCAATTCACAGCATTCCAGATTTGGTCCAGAAAATGGTGTGAACCCAGCCTCAGACTGTCAATAATAGGGGTTCCGGAGATCAACTTCCGCTGATTATTATCTAGGGCTGCGGAAATTAACGATTAATCCTTCGATTAATCGTTCATTTTTTTTTGTCAACTTCCGAGTCTTTGAATTCCAGCCACTTCCCCCATGTTTAAGATATGCCCCGTAATTATCTTTTTTCATTGTAACCATCTCTTCCAGTAGACTAGTGGTAGTGGCCCCTATCTTGGTCAGCCACTCATCACTGGAAGGGATTTTGGGTGTCCCCCAATACCGTGGGATCAGAGACTTGGCCGCATTTAGCATATGGGGTATTAGAGATTTTTTGTAAACCTTAACTGAATCCGTTGTCAGATGGAATAAGAACACCCACGGGTCCATCGGTAATTGTACCTCACATATGTGTCCTATAATGTCCTTCACCCTTTCCCAGTAAGGTTTTATCTTGGGGCAGTCCCACCATATATGCGCAAAGGATCCCACCCCTCCGCATTCCCTCCAGCAGCCGTCATCGATTGAAGGGTGCACCCTTTGCAATATCTGGGGAACCTGGTACCACCGTGTTAACAGTTTATAGTTTACTTCCATTGTTCTAGTGTCTACAGTTGTGCTAGTAACTAGTGTTAGTATTTTCTTCACCTCTTCCTGTGTGAGTGTATAGTTAAATTCCCGTTCCCATTGCCTTAAATATTTTGGGATACTATCATTTTCTTTTTTGATAATTGCTTTATATATTTTTGAAAGGCAGTGTTGAGGTGGTTGTTTAGCTCCCATAATCGACTCAAATATGGTCAAGTCCCCCCCTGTTCTCAAAGGTTTGGATAAGGTTTGGAAAAAAAGTTTTAATTGTTGATGTCTCGACCAATCCAGGGGGTAGCTTCCCCAATCCTCTCTTAGCTCCTGTAAGGAGCTAATCCTTGCCCCCGCCATGATGTCAAACACTTTTAGTTGAGGGCGCTTGCTCCAGTTTAGAAAGGCTTTGCCCGGCGGGAACGTTCATTTTTTTGATCGATCAAAATAATTTTGATCGGAACTCACCTTTCCGCCGGCTTCCATGTCTTCCGGGAGTTCCTCGGAGATCCAGTGACGTCACGGACATCGACGTCACCGGACTCCTCCCCCCTTCCCCTAGTGGCTGTGTCGGCTACCGAAGGGAAGGGGGGAGGAGTCCGGTAACGTCGATGTCCTTGACGGCAAACGAAGGGAAGGGGGGTGGAGTCCGGGGACGTCGATGTCCGTGACGTCACTGGACTCCTCCCCCCCTCCCTTCGTTATGCTATTTTTAAACAATAAAGAACCACCTGCACTAGGGTGGGCACCCTTCTCTTTCTTTTTGTCTTCCAGTTATACAGTTCCCTTGGCTGTATAATAATGGCCTATAATTAATCGAAATTAATCGATTAAAAAAAATTTTGATTAATCGAACACAAAAATTGTAATCATTACCAGCCCTATTATTATCACATTACAGAGTTTCACTCAATGGTTTTCCCCAAAAAAAACCTTTAAAGGAAATTTGTAGGGTGTCATTGATGACCTCCATCCGAGAATGCTGGTTGCCTGCCAGTTTCTGTCTTTAACTCTTTCTAAGGCAATGACTCAGGACAAGTATGCTGCAAGTGAAGTTAGAGTGAAATCTAATCAGTCACTGAGTAAGTGACACTGAAGATCACAACAGATCAGCAACAAAAACCAAGGAACTAGCTGTTTTAGGTAGGTTTAGCAATGGCAGCCCACATATTTCTCCCAAACCAGAATTCCTATAAACCCTCAGCTTGAGAAAACACAAAGCTGGCCTTGTCAGTATGAATTTAAAAATGTAAATGTTTGTAGCCATTACAGTCTCTTGACTGTTTAGTAATTTGATGCATAGTGGTATGCATGTTTCTCCTTTTTAGATGGTTTAATGTCTGATGAGGTTTTTTAGAGTTTTGACACCCTTTCTGAGGAAATTACCCAGCACTTGCCTAAGAGTCTAGAGTTGTGAAATGCTAGGTTTATTCAGAAGTTGTATCAATCGCACGGCTGCTGGTATGCATGTGTCCGGACCGTGCTGATATGCTTGATCGAGCAACATCACACTGTTTTTTTCTTTTGTTATGTTATAACTTTATTGAAATGTCACAAGTGACATTCCACTAAGTTCTGTGGGCAACCATGGTGCAATGCGGTTGTGCCACTTCTTACTGCGGTGCGCTTAAAAAAAATACTGCATGACATACTTTTTTTAAGCGCACACAACACAGGAATGCAGTGGTGTGAAGTGTCACAACCTATAACAAGGCAAATTGCCTTGTCTTGCGTTCGGACTGAGCTGGAAAAAGCGGCCAGGTTAGCCCGTACCCCGGGCCCATGCGGTTTGGCCAACTCGATGCTGATTGGCTGGTCAGGAAGCTGGATGGCGAGTCATTACCCGCCGCCTGACCTTCTGATTGGCCAGTAAGCAGGCTCCATGTTTCGTTGCGGCACTCCGGTATCAGGGGTAAATAGCTGAGCATTTGGACAAGTACTCACACCAAATACCAGGTATCGGCACCAATACCGATACTAGTATCGGTAGCGGTGCATCCCTAGCTTCTGCAATAGCAAGTGGGGTATTGTTTGTTCCTCAATTTTGGGATCCTGTCTGGTCTGGTGTGTTTGTTGTGTAAAATATAATTTTACTTTTATTCTATGAATGTTGTATGTGGTTAAAAGTTACATTGGGTCTGACCTTTGCTGCCTTGTTCACTGCTTGACTCAATGCTGATAACAAATAGTCATCAGCATGAGCAGTTCAAAGGTCAGCAACTATAAGCCTTCAGGTGACCTCTTATGCATTAATCCCAAACTAAAGAGGCCAACAATGTAAATGAAATGTATGTATAACTCAAACATTTTCTTTTAGTAAGGAAGGATTGTAACCCCTGTCAGGTTTTTATTGCTATGTTTATCTCTAACATTTTACAGTTGGTACCAACACTGGTGCCAAGGGGAATTATTTTCCAATAGAGACGCTTATTCAGGTGACACTTGTCTAAGAGGGGAATTTACTTCACTTGGGTAAGATTTAGAGAGGACAGGAAATGAAGAGAACACAATACACAAACAGCTAGCTATAAACTGATACAAGTTTGAACCATTCCCTGAAAAAGTGTTAGCTTTAGATATAGTTTAAAGTTAAATTTGCAAATATAAATCTTTCTTTAATATTCCCAAACAATTGTTATAAATGATGAGGAAATATTCAGATTCTTGCACTAGTCTACTCATGACTCCTGTGTAGGGGCTAGTCCAGTTGTCAGAAAGCAGCAGAACACTACTACAAATGTGTCAGTTTACATCTCAAATGGCCAAATTAATCTGGTATTCAGGGTAGGTATGGCTGCTTTAGGTTTCTTTGCTTTCTGTGCATCATTTCGCATGTACCCCATTTTGATGAAAGGCATAAATGTTCCAACACATTAGAAAATTAATCTTAATCCGGATTTTGAAAATGCATCTTGCACTGCTTATTTCTTTGTGTTAGCCTCTTCCTCACCAGAATGAAAAAAAGTCAACAACTTAGGGCGGGTGCTACCACGTGATTTTGTATCTGGCAAGGTGTCACCATTTTGTGGTGAAGCAATGGAAAAATCTAAAAGTAAGGTGCCATTTTAAAAGCAGAAGCCCAGAGGTGTAATGATAATGCTTTTCGAATGACGAGGCTAGTGTCGACTTGTTATTAGTATATACAGCAGCTTTTTGGCAGAGGAACAGCGTGCTACAGTTTATTGTATTTCTGGAATCAAAAAACCTATTTACGATTTAACAGCAGTGATCCCTTGAGGTAAACAGGAGCATGCAAAGAGAGTCGTCTTTTTAGCATTGCTTGCCATACGGTATTTCTTCTCGTGGTATGAATTTAGTTTTTTTTTCACTTCTCTTTAACCCCTGGATAGAGAGCTGTTGTTCATATTCTCACGGGTCCGTGATATATTGACAAACTGTCTGCTGAGTGCGCAGCGTAGTTTTAACAAGGCAAGCCAATGTAGATTTGTGCTGCGTATAGTCAGGAGTGCTTATAGTTTAGAAGGAAGTGGATGCAATAGGTCAGAAGAATGTACCATTTATAAACACCCCTCCTTTCCTTTTATACTCATGTGTGAGATGTAGCAGAGTGAAGGCAGCGTGCACACAAGGCAGAACAGGCAGCACAGGAGACGACGAGTCAGCCTGGAAGTGATCTGCAGTTCTTGCCTTCCCGGCTAGTGATTTTCCAAGCTCCCCAGCTCCTCTCGCTCTCTCTTTCCCTCCTTTGTGGAAAGGACTGGCTGTTTTATTGGAAAATAACATGGTTCAGCCCACTAACTGCATGCTGCATGTTGGGTAAATTCAAAACCCACATGCCAGACCTAGCGAAGAAGAATTATTTACATCTGACGGATATTTTCGCTGCTTATTGCATAGTAATGAGCTTCTGACAGGCGCGACCTTTCATAAGACAGCCCACATTATTGGATTCCTGCCCAGAATATTGCTGCAACATTATCTGCGATTGGTTATCTTCCTATCATGCATTGCTTCACAGGGGAAACAGCTTCTTCTTCTTCTCCTTTTTTCTTTTTTTTTTAAATAAATCTACGATGGCTGGCTGCAATATGTTACTCTGTAAGTATCTGCATGGGGAACGTACAGGCAAGCTTGAACTGTGTGCTGTAGCTGCACAGAAGAGAGAGAAAGTGTGCACTAGAAAGTCAAGTACTGCGTGGTTAAAATTAAAACGTGTTTGTTTTTTCTACAGGTTGGTACTAAGAAGTGCCTTTCCTGACGTCCCTGCTGCTTGGACCCGCTTCTAGAGCAGCCTCTGCTTTTTGCCTTGCTTGCTGCCAGCTACACTGCAACGAAAGCAAATCCACCCTTCTCATCTATACCCCCCCTTCCCAATTCTGCTCCTAATCAAGAGAGATCCCTGCATTAGGCACTGTGTTATACCACTGTGGGTATAGTAACAAAAAAACAAAACAAAGAAATCAAACTAAGATATCTGCTTTTGGGAAAGCAAAGACAGACACAGGGGATATAGGGAAGTCCAGAGGAAACCTCTATGATTTTTTTCTCTACAGTGCTGCATCGATACATACCAAACTAATCAATACAGATTGCACGGCAAAACCCTATTCAATTTCCAGTTCAGCTGCGTGGAGATTACCTTTCGGCCAACTTTACTGAAAGCAGACCGGATAGTGTGTGCCAGCACAGGGGTCGCCACGTATTCATGTTTGCATTTTGGGCTGAATATCAGAACTTCAAATGGGTTACTGAGAGGACAGAGAAGCTGCAGGCCACCTCAATTAAGCATACTGAATGTTTTTAATATTACAGATCAGCTAATCTGTATTATTTTATAAGGTAGTCGCTGAAGAGCCAGAGTGAGGCATCTGTATGCATATACAGACAGCAGAGTTTTACCAGCTGAAAACCACACGGGAGACAGAAAGGACGGTTGGAGTTTTTGCATTCTCTGACGACTTCTGAGAAGTTTTTAGCCCTCTGTAGAATTTAAGTATGGCTGTTAGCGTGGCACCCATGCGGGACACAAAATGGCTAACGTTGGAAGTGTGTCGGGAGTTCCAAAGAGGGACCTGCTCAAGGCCAGACACAGAATGTAAATTTGCACACCCATCGAAAAGCTGCCAAGTCGAAAACGGACGAGTAATCGCCTGCTTTGATTCACTGAAAGTGAGTAAACATTCTTACATTTTTAGGATAAACATTTAACAAATACATGCACAGTATCAGAGCTGCCTGGTATTTGAACACTGCTTTTTCTCACATGGCTGTTTGCATTGCTAGCTAGCAAAGGCACTATATGCATGCGGTCGTGGGTAGCAAGGAAACATAATGTATTTGCATTGATATTATTTGTTTAGAAGAATACTAGCAATAAATCATTAAATGGTCTGAGCATAACACTAGTGCTTTTAAATGTAGATATTTATACAATGCCTTTATTTTTCTTGATATTACATTGATATAAAATGTCGAAATAAATGATCCTTTGTAATACTTAGTTATCCACCTTATCTGTATGCAGCAAACTTGATCTGCATTTCATCATGATGTTGACATATGCATTAGTCTGTTAGTCAGAGTCAAGCCAGTGCATTTCCCCTTTTACTAATATAAATGACCGATCAAATTAGTCATTTGTGTTCTACTTTTTAAGTTCCAAGCAGAAAAATGTGTTGCAGTAAATTGCATTATTTTCATATTCAGTGGCTTTTAACTTTCTCCATCAATTGCAGCTTGTGATAATTTAAAATGTCTTTCATTTGTAAAACTCCATATTCCAGATTATATCTATGCGAGAAGTGACATTTGAAGTAACTGCTGTGAATAATGTTTGTGGTTCCTTAACCATGGCTTAGTTGCAGTGTGCCAGCAGATCTGATAACAAATTGTGGAGTGTGCATTTTAAAGTTACCCATACATAAGCATATCATGAGCACAAGATGCTCGTTTTAGGCCTTCTCTGCCATTAATTAGCCTATACATGGACACGGGCGGCAACTAGCTTCTGGAGTGCAAAAGCATACATTCAAAATCATTCTAGACTTCATGGGTGCATGTATGTGGCTCTTTATTAAGGAATGATATCTGTCAGGTTCGGTTATTGTTGTGCATACCCAGATCTTTTAGAGATTGGGCCATCTGCAGCACAGAAAGACAAAATTCAGACTTCTTAATCTACCCACATGTTGACAGTTTCATGTCAATAGGGGCAATTGAAAAGCTACACGTCAACTGACTGGCCACCACAGAGTTAATTAATTGAGAAAATCTGCTCCAGCCTCAGTCCTAATGAAAGAATACTGTTTGGCTAAATTAGCAAACCTTTAAATCTCACGTTTGGCTTGTTTTGTACAGAAAAGGAAGGGTTAGAGTATCAGTCAGGTTTTTATCCCTGTCTGTGTCCATGTTACCTCACTTCCTGTCTGAGTGGTAGAGTAAGACTAGTACAGGAAGGGACAGAAAAACTCTGGTGGGGACAGAGGCAGCAACAAAAATCTTTGTTTAGTAGAGTGGGGAGGTATTAGAACATTTGTCAAGTTTTAAATTCTTCCCGTGTCTTCCTGTCACTTCCTGTCCTGATGACATGTTTCCTGATGTCAACGAAACAGGAAATGAGATGGCATATTAAAGACAAATGGGGATGTTGAGAAACGTAAGAACACTTACTATTAGTTCTGGAAATATAAAGCCATTTCTCCATTATTTTGCTTGATGGCCTGTACAGTTGAAAAGTAGTATTGAGTATAAGATCTCTTAATGTCTCCAACAACATATTCTAGCATTTCTAGAGACTTACATATGGCTGTCATTATTTAGGTGTGCATAGGGCAGTGTGATGTCTACATAGAGCACTGCTTGTAGCCTAAAATATATTTATTATTATAAAATAACATCCAGCATTATATATTTAGCCATAGCTGTCCATAAACGATGATCCTTGAAATCATGAGGCTGATTTACTAAAGGAGCTGAGAATCTTCACACAGTGGATTGTGTGAATATTCACATCGATTATCCAATCACATGAAAAGCAAATTCCTCTTCACATATTTCATGTGCACGTGATTGCATAAATAATCACAGATAACTGTATTAGGATTCTCAACTACTTTAGTAAGTATTTATGTATTACAGGTACTTGTATAGCGCTGACAATTTATGCAACGCTTTACATAGTTGCAAATTCAAGGTGCATACAATCTAGGTCCCTATCTCGCATACAGGGCCAAATTAGACAGAAGCCAATTAACCTTCCAGCATGTCTTTGGAATGTGGGAGGAAACTGGAGTACTCCTGAGTTAAAAGAGAACTAGGGGGGTAACCTTTTTATCCCATAGTTCTCTTTAGGGTCACGGGAGGACATATACTAACCTCCTCCCATGACCCTAAGCTCAGTATATAGCAAGTTACAGCTCGCTATATACTAAGAGCGCTGCAGCCGGGACAGATGCCGACAATACTGTTGAGATCCACCCAGCTAGCTGATTGATAGCGGGCTATGCCTATAAAGAGGCAGAGCCAGCTGTGCCCGCCCCTTCCCTGTCCGTTCCTCCAGTCACTGCTGGAGGATCGGAGAGGGGAGTGGGGGAATCCCTGCAGGGAGTGGTGACTCACGCTCTCTGCAGGTAGATGATCGAAAAGTGAACGATCGACGGTATGTGTTCGCTCACTTCCCGATCTATAGAGCCGACGTGTGACAGTTTCATTGTCACACGTCGGCTCTAACTATGAGGATGAGTGAAAATCACTCATCTCATAGTTCTCCTTTTAAGTGACAATTTAAGGTTCAAGCTGCGGTAGTTGGTGGTGTTCTTTTATGGGACAGGAAGTCATCCTTTGTTCACAAGAAGTCAAACGTCTTCTGCCGCAGCAGCTTAATCTCAGTTATCTTAACCCCGAAAACGGTTGCTGAAACGTTAAGGTATTTTTGTAAGAATGTTAGTAAAAGTTCTTTTAAATAAACCAATCTGCAATGGATTCATTCTGGACCTTTAAATGTTCTGAAAATCCTTCTGCACACTTATTTAGCACTGTAAAGTTGTATTTTATAATAGTTTAGGCCTGGACATCTGTTTTAACAATTTAGGAGAGTTATTAAAGTCTGTAACACTGTTTCCATATTCACGACAGATTTAATAATAAAGGAAGAAAATCTGTAATTTAGCAATTAAAGGCACAATTGTAGATCCAGAGGCCAGGGTTAACCCATTATACCTCCTGCTAGCATACTTCTACTTTTTTTCTCTACTTAATGTGAGTTTAGTATATTAAAGGCAGCTTGTCTCTGTCAAAGGTGCATTGTGTCTGTATGTTATTAATGCTCTTGGCACTGATCCATCCCTTAACTGGGTTAAACCTGACCTTTAAAAGAGTCATTACTTCAGTTAGTAATTTTATTTTATTTTATTAGGTTCTATGGCATCCTACCTAGAATCCTCCTGATTTTATTATCTCCAACATGTCAAGGCAAAAAAACTGCTTTCATATAGACTCAAAATAAAGTTTTAGACATTTCTGTAATAGGGCCAATAAATTAAAATTATATGTTTGTCAATTACAAAATGTATTACCAACATCAACACTGACTGCATGATCACCGGGTACTCCACTGATCCAATCCACCTAGCATGCAGCTTTGAAATTCCTTCCACTGACCCCTCATTAATGCCTTCGTGCAGAGGGCAGTGAAGTGAACACTTTGCTGAGTACTTGTGTATACTGAGCTATGCACCTCAATGCACTCTTCATGCCCTGGAAGTCATGGAGCAGGGCTGTTTTGATATCCATGTGCATGAAGATTCAATAAATTTGTAATGTTTCCAACGTCTTACAAGTACTAGCATTAAAGACCACTTCAAACAGCACATAAAATGGCTGTAATAAATTGTGAATATTTAAAGTTAACCTGTGCTTTGCCCATGATGGAAAAAACAGCAGGTTCTCTTAATTCAACCCTTCCCAGCAAATCATACTCACCTGAACAGGCAGATGGATCAGGGAAGGAGAGGTGATTATGGGTTGTTGGAGACCTGGGTATAATAGCAAAGCTATTGATTTGCCCTGTAAATGAAAAACATAGGATTTCCTTTAAAGTTCAAATTTCAAAGGACTCATGATTTTGTGTATGTGTATGTGATTGGTAAAGGAGAAGAAGCCCCTGGCAACCCATTGCAGGCACCTTCAGGTGTTTGGATATCAAGCCTCTTGACCCAGGAAAGTGGGTTTATATTTGTATATCAGGGTATCCTCACTTTAAGGGCACTGGAAGCTGTAAAACTAAAAGTCAACCCAGAAGTGCTTACAGCTTGAAGTGTTTATAATATAAATAAATACATTAAATCCTCCAATTACATAGATTACGCAGTCTCTTAATTTCATATTGTGCATGGGAAATAAGAAGACAGCAGATGAATTTCAAACGATGTCTCAGAGAAAGTCTAGAATTCTGTTTATAATAGCATTTCAAATGTTATATGTCATAGACCATAATTGCACATATTTTAATAAAAACATGATGTCACATAGCCATACAAAAGCTTGAACCCAATCTAGAACCCCTGTTTTTGCTGCATATTATTATTATTATTATTATTATCATTATTATTTTTATTGAAAGTGGAACCTCAGGATTTTTTTTTTAAACTTACATTGGTCCAAATTGGCCCAATGTAAGTATCTTTATCTGATACCCTAAGGGCCACTGTTAATGCTGACAATTCCTGTATGTATAGTGATGGCCTTGATCTTCTGGATGTGGCTTCAGCTGCTTCCCCTGTGCACACTGAGCACAGGGAGTCGCTCGCTTGGCACCACCGCCATTAAGAGAATGCTTTTTTTTGTTCAGGGTAAAGAAGAGGTGGAGAGCAGGCGTAGATGATGACACAATCCCCACATCTTCCAATCAGAGAATGCCTTGTAGTCATTCTCTAATTGACTGCCGTGCCTAGTGAGTGACTCCCTGTGTTCAGTGTACAGAGTGGAAGCCGCTGGAGCAGCACCCAGATGATCACGGCTATCACTACATGTAACACAGACTACTAAAGTTATTTGCAGCATCCACTGTGGCCATCCATATGTCGGATGTAAATACCTATATTGAGCCAAGCATGACCAATGTAGGTTTGCCAAAAATATAACTCCTGAAGTTTCTCTTTAATACTACAAAT